TTGGCCGACGCCGCCTGGCCGCGGGGCTGTGCCCCCTGCTCTGGGTGACCCTGCTTGGGCAGGGGGTTGGTCTGGGTGACCCACAGAGTTCCCTTCCAACCCCAAACATTCTGTGATTCATCCTTCAGTTATTATTTTAAATGACATGAGCGTTGTTTGAAATAACTATTTGAGAACAGAACTCATACGGTCTTTAGCATGTAACTGAAGTCTATCCAGTGCTGTATAAAATATTTTAACCGACATCATTTGGCTGAATTTCATTTGAACAGCCAAAATCAAAGTCATCATTGCATTTGATGTTAAAATTAAAATAAAACTGAAGCTTTAGCACGTTGGGGGTTATGGTGGTACAGGTTTGTGAGTGAAGGAGGTGAAGTAAATTGCCCTTAGTAATCCAGCAGGTCCGTAAAGAGCTGGGAGTGGAACTAGGGGCCCCGTTCATAAGCCTGCGTCCAGGCTAGCCATTTAGTCTGGGAACGAGAGTCAGTGTTGTAAGAACCTGGGGTCACCAAGCGATTTTCTTTCCTCTTCCCACTGCATTCACCTGAAATGTGCAGTTCTTTCAAAGCCCTTGCAGGGAAGACTTGTCCCTCAAGAAGAGGCCCTTCAGAGCTGCGCGTGCTCCAGTACTGTGTTTGGCGTAGTAGATGGCATTTTGCTTGAAATTGGAGCCTAAGTTCTACTGCATGGCCTGGCTCAGGCAACCTAGATTCAGTTTAACTCCATGCCTAGCACAGGTAGAAGAGGATAATCGTAAGCGAGGTCTGAAAAAGAAACATGCAGCAAAGATTCAGTACAGTACCCATATTACAGCCATCCAGAGAGGTCTAGAACTTACATACGTTTTCCTTTTTTTAAGTCTGAGTTTACCAGTGCTTTAAAATAAAGCAAAGAAACAAAAAAATCAATAGAGCAACAAAATTAACTTGTTTGACCCCTGCCAAGCCTCACTTCTTTATTCTCCATAGGCATATTTTCAGTGAGCTCGAGGATTCATTTTACTTTAAGGTCTACTGCAATGCACCCTGTTGTCTGCTGAAGTTCATTCTGCTGCCGTTCTGCCAGCTTGAGCTAACAGTTGAGCAGCTTCCCTCTCAGACACTTTCCCCATTTTAGAAATGGGAAGTTGCTTCTGCTGGCGGGCTGCGAGCTACCTGAAATGGCAGTGATGGCCAGGAAGTAGGTCAGTTTGCAGAAAGTCTTATTTTCGTGCTTCTGCAAATGAACATCCTGCCACTGTGCTGACACCGCTTTGAAGCAAATCAGCTCTAAAAACCAACAGCGATTCAAATGCTTGACATGCAGAATTAATTACTCCGCAGCCTGTTTCCTGCACGCCACTCCTGCTGTCAGTAGTTTGACTTAAATGCTTTGTGTTTGATTGCTCCAGAAGAGAGGCAGGGCTGGGCTCGGGGTGCTCTATGGAAGGGAACGCTGCTCACTTGCAGAGTTTGCTTTGTTTGTGGCTGGTTTTGTGATAACATTTGATTGAAATGCAGAATCCTTTGTGTTAATTTAATTTTGTTCATCCTTCCAAGTGGAAGAATTTGTGGAAGACTGTAAAAATCTCTTCTGTAACATTTGCTTTTTTCACAAGGGTCTGTTACGAGAGCCCACCGACCTAAAAGTCAGCCTGGTATTACACAGGGGAATCTGTCCATCCGGGGAGTTGATTCGCAGGCTGTATTCTGGTGCAGTCGTCCCGCTGAAAGGCATCACGGCGTGAAGTGGGACGTATTTGTAAGCGCTGTAGCGCAGTCTGATACGCCTGCCCTGGTGCTTACACTTGCGCTTTCTCAGAAAAGCACACGGTGTCATTTCAGAAGTCTTTCAGCCATTTAGGGCTGGCTCTCAGCAAAGTCCACAGAGGATATAAAGCAGCAGTGTCCTTCTTAATTACTGCTAGGTTATCTTCAGCACCATCCAAGTTTCTGATAGTGAAATCTGACAAGATTATGGCAGCAAAGTGTCCTAATTACAGTTCTTCAAGTAGTGGAAATTTTCAAACAGTAAGAGCTACCTTTTTAGGATTGCTGTATACTTACCAACCTTATCTAAAAGCAGAAAATTAGGAGAAAATGGTTTGACGTTTTGTATCAGCTACACAAGTTACTGACTTTTTAGGTTTTCATTTATATTGCATAATTGCTTAAGGCATAAAGAATGCATAGGTACTTTTTGAAATAAATGCTGATTTGGAAGATTATCTATTTTATCTGAAGCTCAGTCCAGTTAAGGCAGAGTTATTGCTTGATACTGTTGGAATAAGGCGATATACCCTTTGTTTGGAAAGGCATTTATTTCCTTTCATGGCTTGCTTTAAATTGTTATGCAACAAAAAATACAAACGATTTCTAGTTAAAATGAGGAAGACTGTTGAGAGAAGCTAGTTATTTCCAGCTCTGGCAGTAATTCAGCTGAACTCCTTTGTTTTACTGCTCAAAATGAAAAGGAGAGAAAGCTATCAGAGTCGTAATGAGCACTGTTCTGCAGTCATCTTCAATAAGTGTCTCGTTGAGCGAGAAAGGCTTATTGCACAGCTTTGTTAGCCGTGCTTATTGAGAGAAATGTGACAGTTTTATCATTCTAAGGGAGAGGTTCAATTTTGTGACATTTCCTGTTTCAGATCTTCCAAGATAATTCCATTCCCTTTGGTCCAGTAAAAACCCTAAAAGATTTGATTATGAAAACAATAAAACTCTTAAGAGTTTCGACAGAATTGGTACCTAGATCACCTAAATTCTAACAATGCAAGACATGTATATTGGATTTCAGAACACAGTGCAGTTTTTTTGCTTTTTAGAAGTGAACGGATTTTTCTTTTCCGGCTTCAAAGTTCGCAGACATTCAGGTATTTTCCTCACAGTTGGCTTTTTCAGCTATTTACTGTATCCCCGTACCACCTTCTGCACTCTGAGCACATCAGCAGCTTTTCGAAGTCTGTGAGGCATAATTACCTTTGGAAGTAGTCCCCTGGCAGCTGGTGTAATTGCCTGGCTGATGATTTCTAGAGGGGTCAGCCTCCCACCCTTCACACGCTGTTTGCTGTCAGGCAGCGGCGTCTCCTTCGGCCGTCGTCAGCCACAAACGAGTTGCATCGCGGGGAACCGCAGCATCTTGCAAGACGCGCCAGACGCTCCTTAGCCATGTGGCTGTGCTGGACGTTACCATCCAGTTGCAGTGTCACTTCTACTGCAGGGGTTTCTTGTTCTTTGTATACCCGGGCACGTAGGTTTCTGATCACTAGCAAGGATCAGGAAAAAACATTGATCAGGAACACCACCAAGAAGAGTGGCTAGCCAGCATTCATATTCTTTGATTAGGTTAGTACTATGCAGGGTGAAGAGTTCACGTTTTTACAGGTGCCCAGGTGAAGTTTGCACTTCTTCCTGGGTACATTTAGAATTCTTCTGCTCGGTTACACTGAAAAAAATCTGGTCTTATGAGACTATTTCCATTTTGACAATGCACGCCTAGATTTCTCTCTAAATCTGGCACTGCCTATCGCTGTCAGAGTTGGTTTTGTTGGTGAATTGCTTCACTATAGGTTGCAGTATGTATGAACTCAGTAAATTACCTTTTGTCTTTATTTAAATTACTTTTCTTCTTCATTGTAGGTGCGTATAGCTGCAAAATTCATCACTCATGCACCCCCTGGAGAATTTAATGAAGTATTCAATGGTAAGTAAATAAGGGAAAATGATCGGTGGTGTTTTCTTCACATTTCATCTGTTCTCAGAGTCTAAGACTGTGTCACAATATACTGCTTTTCAGGTTAAGGAGTGGTGAGGGAAAGGCATGCTGTCATTCTGGGACTGCATATGCTTAATGAAATGATTTTCATCATTTTAATGTTTGTACGGTTGTACAACTGAACTGTAGTACAATATCACATTTGTGCAGTTGAAATGCATAAAGAGAAACATTTGATCAAAAAATCCAATAACCTACCTGAACTCTCTCTTCTCCAGATGTCCGGTTATTGCTGAACAATGACAATCTTCTCAGGGAAGGAGCAGCACAGTAAGTACTAACATTTCAAACACAAGTCCAGTTACCATCAGCGATGTGTATGTTTTCTTACATCCATCATTCTGCGACAAAGCAAGCCGTTTGTTGTACTGAGAGCAATCTGTGTAATTCCTTATCCCCTCAACAAAATACATAATGAAAGGCATGGACGATTCTTTTTAAAAGCCCTAAATTGGAAATTGTGCTGTAGAGGCCATATAAAACTGACAGGAAGGCACGCTGCCAGAAAGTTTAACTCTGCAGCAACGGGAGTGACTGATCTTGTTGAAGCATGATTTGTAAAGCAAGTGAAGCCTGAAATACCGAGTAATCCTTAGCCAAAGTTTAGAAAAAGAACTGCCCTCAAAAAAAAAAGCTTTGAAAATATATTGTGTACTTGCACAGTCTCATCAGAAGGTGCTTAAAGGTTATGCATACAAGCTTTTTGATGCCAAGACTACTTCAAGCTAGGTGACATGTCAGTCAGCAGGTCTTTACATAAGAAAATTGTTGTAAATATTAGTCTACTCGTTTGTTTACCTTGCTGCTAAATTGTAGCTGGGGTGTTCCTGTTTTGCCTTGGCTTGCTCATATTCCCTCCGGCTGCCTGCTGTTCTACTTTTGAACTCTGTACTTTCCTGGTCACCACTAAATAAACTTGGCTTTAGACCTGGAGTTTTATAGCTATTGTCAATAAAAAGTATTGAAAAATCCTTTAAGAGTGCTCTTGTGTATTATTTGCCAAATTAAGTTGAAATTTTCTGTAATATAAATCACACTACGTACTTATTCTCGAGTCAAAATAAATGTGCATGTACAGCTAAAGTTCATGTTCTTTTCATTCTTAACAGTGCATTTGCACAGTATAACATGGATCAGTTCACTCCGGTGAAGATAGAAGGGTATGATGACCAGGTAAGAGAAAACTTTTTACACTTGTTTGTATTATTGCACTGTGCAAAAACACTAAATATGTTGTTTCATCAAGATTTTGACTAGTTTCCTTATACTCACAAGTTATCACCTCTCCTCCTTCCCCCCTACATCAGTATATTGCCAAACTTCTGTTCTTATAGAAGAAGCGTAGGTGAAATGGTCTCTTAAAGTGTTGCCTGATACTACCTAGTAACTCTAATTCATTGTTCCTTAAGTAGAGTTCCATGCTGAAGTCACTGGAATTCTACTTAGAGTATGAATGATTACAGATGACTGTTTATTTAAAGCTCACTTAGAAATCCTTTTCCTTTAGAAATGACAAAAGAAAACAACAAAAATAACTTTAAAAGCAAAACCACCTGTTTATATTGTAAGAATGCCCAACTTTAAGCTAAGTATATACAGTATTATAATAACAGCCATTTCTGGGACAGAAGACTAAGTGCGATATTACTGTGAAGAGCAGAGAGTTTACCTACAGCCTCACTACAAACTACTCTCAGTTGAACTTATTACTGAAAAGCCGTGTTTCTTCATGTGATATTATAGCTCAGTGAAAGAATCTGTTGAAACATTGATATCTGTCCAAATGGTCAGGGAAAAATGCAAACCAGCACATTTTCAGCAGCATAAGTGTATCTTAATTTCAACTTCTTTTACAGGTGTTAATCACAGAACATGGTGATCTGGGCAATGGCAGATTTTTAGACCCAAGAAACAAACTTTCTTTTAAGTTTGATCATTTAAGGAAAGAAGCAAGCGACCCCCAGCCTGAGGACACAGAATCAGCTTTAAAACAGTGGAGAGATGCCTGTGACAGTGCATTGAGAGCTTACGTGAAAGATCATTACCCCAATGGCTTCTGCACTGTTGAGTATCCGTCTTGTTTCACTGAACGTTCCTTGCTCCTTGTCAGTCAGTACCTTGAGTGGACCTGGTGCTGGGCAGTGCTGTTTGAATTCTCCATCCTCACTAGCGTTTTCGCTAGCTTGGGAGTGACAAGTTCCAAAGAGGGAGCAAATATCTTGGTGTGCACACAGTGGTAAAGATGCATTAGCCTTATTTTTTGTAGTGCTGACTGCCCAGCACCTTAACACCTGCGGTTAATAAAAAGGAGGCATTGTGTGCACATATGTGCAAATGGAGGCGCTGGACAATGTAATTGGTGGTAGATGTTCCCAGCGAGATACCACCACAGCAAGCCTCCACAGTGCTGCCAAGACCAGAAATTAAGAATGGCTTTGCTCAGCTGTTGGGCCTTTTTAACTCTTTTTCTACATGCAGGTTTATGGTAAATCTATAGATGGGCAGCAGACAATTATTGCCTGTATTGAGAGCCACCAGTTCCAGCCCAAAAACTTCTGGTAAGACTGTTTCAACATAGAATATTTCATTCCTTTACTAGTCCCCAAACCAGCCCGTCCTCTGTCTTCTGACACAGTCTGAAGGGCAAGAAGTCTTGGGCTTCCCAAGAAGTTCTGCTTCTCACTCTGTAGGCTGTTTTCCTTGCAGCCCCCTTAGCACTTCCCTGAAGCCTTCAGTGTGGTTCAGTGACCTCTCCAGAGAGCGAAGGGCATTAGCAGAGCTAGATAGATCCCCCTTTGCATATTCCAGACCACAAGCACACTGGAGCTACTCCATACTTCAGAAATTTAATTCAGAGCCATGTAAGGCACTGTAACATGGGTCATAAGATGGCAGCAAAAACAACTTGATCTTGTTAATTTGGTTCTTTTTGCTGTTAGAGCTTTTTGGAAACAGTTTTCATGCTTTGATTGTTTTTAGGAATGGTCGTTGGAGATCAGAATGGAAGTTTACCATCACACCACCAACAGCTCAGGTGGCTGCAGTGCTGAAGATCCAGGTGAGTTACTTTTTCTGGCAATAACGGGAGAAGCTGCATTGTGCTTCTCTTACACCAAAGCATTCGACTCGGAATGAGATGCTGAAATACAGCCAAGATGTCCTTCTCCAGTTAAGATGCTATTAAACAATTCAAGAAATTCTTAAAACTAGTGTTTCGGACATCGTCTGCAGTCTGGCCTGTGGTTTATTATATAGCTTTACCCTGTGTGCCTCCAAGTCTGCTTCACTTTGTAGGGCTAAAACCTATACCATGAATTCTTTTATAATTGCTCTTATTTCAACTCTAGGCGTTTACTGCATTAACATAATCTTGAACAGTCTTGACAAAGAATGAAACCTTTTAGAAAATCCATCCTGCTTTTAGTCTCCACGTAAGCCGAGAAGACTGGCACAACAATGCTGTTGTGCCATTCTGGTAGCATTTGGGGGCTCTAGGGATTAGAAAATGAGTGTTAATGATAACCTGCGTTCTGTCTCTTGGCACAGGTTCATTATTACGAAGATGGCAATGTTCAGCTGGTTAGTCATAAAGATATTCAGGACTCTGTGCAGGTTTCAGTAAGTATGCTAAAAGATTTTTTTGTGATAAAGCAACTATTTTATTTCCTAAACATGTCATGAAGCATACACTTCTGTGACGACATTGTCGTGACTTTAACGTCATTTTAGGGTGACTAGTCAGTGTCGGTGTAGTGGTCAGAGTTACATGTGAAACCCAGATCCTCAGTTGCTTAAAGTTAGGCTGTATTAGAAAGTGCAGTCTCTATTGGAAAGCTTATCTCACAAGTTTCAGTTAAAGAGGGCAGAATATGCTCTTCTGTCTACATGCAAGGGAAACTAACAGTGAGAGCGGTATACTAAGGGAAAATAAGAAGTTCTGTAGTACAGTAGAGGGAGCAACAGTCACAGCGTCTCTAAGCTGTACCAGGAAGGTCTACTTGCCTGTTGCTCGCTAGGGTGCAGTCCTCTTTCAGTCTGGAGCACGCGCTCTGGCCAGTACATCCCTCTGTCTTAACCTCACGCAGACATCCGTAGTGAGAGGAGCTCAGCTACACACACAGGACGGAAGCTGCTGCTGTTATCTACTTCATCTGTGCTCAGCCTATCATTTGAGAAGAAATCAGTCATGTAGCTGTTTTAAGTTGCTCTTAAACATATAAAAATGTATTTTTCCCCTTTATAGAGTGATGTCCAGACAGCTAAGGAATTTATTAAGATAATAGAAAATGCAGAAAATGAGTACCAGGTAAGATCAGCAGTTGTTAAATAAATACGATGGAATCATATCAGTCCTCATTTACAGTTAATGGAAGCATGGAAAATTTCTGGCTGAATCTGGTATTGACTAAGAATTACTTAGAAAAGGGCAGTAGTATTTGTTTAAAGAATATAGTTGTAAAGCTACATGTAATTAATAATCAAGTTTGCTGTGTAGTTATTTTGAAGGGTTACAAATGATGCCTGGAGCAAGCGTGGAAGGGAAGTGGGTGAGTCTAAATGTTTTCCTCTGTGACAGTTAAAAATACTGAAGAGGAAATTTGTGTGACAGCTTTTTACGTTGTCCCAGCCTGTGTGCGAGGAGACTCGGTACAGAGAAGTCGGTGAAACACCTAAGGATACACTGCTACATTTACAGGGCCGTTTAGCAGAAAACGCTTTACTTGCACACACCCTGGTGACTGCATTATTAGTGAATTGTCTGCCTTCGCCCTGTAGAAAGGGCTTTGTGGCTTTAACACTGCGTCACGCTTTCTCAGAATATCGTATTACTGCCGTAACTGAATCTACTTGCCATTGCAGACAGCGATCAGCGAGAACTACCAGACTATGTCAGACACCACTTTCAAAGCCTTGCGCCGGCAGCTACCCGTCACCCGCACCAAGATCGACTGGAACAAAATCCTCAGCTACAAGATCGGCAAAGAAATGCAGAATGCTTAATATGGAAATAAGGAGATTTATGAAATGTTTGTGTGCAAAATACAAATGTGGTCCTATGCCAAGTAGATGGTTTCTAAACCAGTGCAGCGTTTTTCTAGGGCTTTCAAAGTTAACAGGTTTTCTAGCCTCAGAGAGAACTGTGGAACAAATAATGTTGTCTTTGTGTTTTGTGTTTCCTGCCGCATAAACTTCCTGTTGTGACTGCATTTACTGATCGGTCTTTTTAATTAAGACACATTCGTGGTTCAGAAGTGTAGCTGGTTTCAGTCACTAATTGTGCTGGTTGGAAAACTTCCTAGCTGGAAAAGCCCTGTTACAAACACAGCTGAGGGTGCAGAGCATTCCCTTCACCCGTGCCCAGCACTCCCGGTACTCCGGTCAGCTCAGCGATCTGCGGGCGGCTCAAGGCGCTATGCTGCAGGATAGAATAAACGCAGGCAAGTCCTCGTCTCTCCTCACGACTGACCTCCACAAAACAAAAAGTCTGCAGGCTTAGATTTTACTGTATAAAATGGGTTTACACGATCCTTTACAGAAATCCCTACGCAGCCAGCTCTTCCAGGGATGTAATTTTTTTTTTAATCGAAGATTTGAGCCCTGTTCCCTAAGAGTGAACATTTCTGCTCTCCCCTCCCTTACGTATGTACGGTTATCAGACATCTGCGTTTTTACAGAACTGCGAGTTCCTGTGCTGAATCACTGCTGATCCACGTAGGCTGGACAGTGGTTAAAAATGCAGCTGTCTGCAGAGTAATAGGTATGAATAGGTATGTTGTGCTTTAATGCTTTGTGGCAGGTTCATAGAATTTGTATCACAGGTATATGGATGGATAGCATACAAAATAAATAAACTTGCACCAAAGTGAGAGAAAAAAACCTTTCCATATTGTCTCAGTTGTGGCCAGTTTCTTGTCATTCTTAAAGGGGAATTTGGAATTAATCTCTTCATTGCTCTCTAAATGCTTGCTCTGTTACTTTTTTTTTTCCTCCTGTAAAATCTAAAGCAGCAGCCCTGCCAGTTCCTCTGAAGGGAGAGCCTTTCTCTGTCAGAACTCGGGACATGGAGTGACCGCAAAATAAAACCCCTTTGGTGATCTCACTTTGCTCTGTTTGCACTTGGTTATTGCTGGGCCGCCTTGCAGGTTCTGGTGTTTAAACTGGCCGGTATCTTCCTGTTTTTAAATACACAAAGTGGGGGAAAAAAGGGTGGGAAGATAGGGATGGGACTGCCTGTGCGTTGCACTTCAGGTTTTGCACAGTAATACCAGAGTGTGTCTATCTATCCTTTGTGAGAAGTTTTGTCTACACAAAGTATATTTGTATCTGCTGTTGAGACTGACCATCCTACAGGCACCCTCTGTACCAGATAGTCCTGTAGAAATACACCGGTCTTCGTTCTAAAGCCATCTGTGTCTGCTCTTTCCTGGTCTCGCTTCTGCTGGCGCCTGGTGAAGGCAGCGCTACAGGGACAGCCTGGGCACAGGGGGATGCTCCCACCCGGGACACAGACCGGGAGCTGGAGGTCTAAGAAATTCCACATTGAAAACAGCCACACAGCTCTAACGAAGCTCTCGACTCTGGGGAAAACAGCGGCCAGGGTCACTGCACCCATCATCTGAGCCTGGCTGCAACGCCTGCCTCGCCTCTTCTGCTCCGCTTGTGCGACAGCTGCACGCATCCTGCGCCGGCACGGAGCTGGGCACGGAGCTGGGCACGCGTGTTTGTGGAAAGGTGTCCTCCCTGCCCGCAGCGCCCAGGGGAGATGAAAGGTTGCGTGGCTGAGCACCTAAGGTGCTGTGGCAGTGGTCCCATCCAGACAAGCACTGCAGCAATTCCAAGAATGCGAGGCTGAAGCAGGGCCCAAGATAAGGCTGTGCACACAACAGAGCTTTTATCTGCCTCAAGGCTAGCGTCTCCCGCTCCGCTCGGGGTTAGTTACAGCGGGCAGTTCACCACCACTTGTTCCAGCCTTTAGACCTTTTCTATCTCTTTGTCCTTCTCCAAATCTTTCTCTAATCATTCTTTAGGCCAACCCATTCCCCGCCTGCCTCCTCGGCCGTCTCCCCCGCCAGCCTCTCCCTCTGCAGCAGGCTCAGCTTCCACAGCCCCAGCCCCTGCCCAACTCCATTTCTTCCCTGGCAAAGCAACCCTTGGCCTGACCCTGCCACCTGGGCACTAAGCAAGCGCCAGCCCCACGGTGACACATGCCTGGGGCATTCTCATCCTTACAGCCACCCACTGTCATCTGCTGGAGACCAGGGCTTTCGGGGAGACTGCGGCCAGCTCCAGAGCAGTGTGTGTCCTGGGCTGGCTCTGTTGCAGGGCACAAAAGCCAAAGCCTGGCCCCGGATGAATCACCCTGGTAGCAGCCAGGCCACCCAGCTGACCGCCCAGGAAAGAGCCTTCCTACCTGTTTGTGAACTCAGAGCTTAAAGCTCCAAGGTTCTGCCTGCAATACGTGACAGACGGACTCACAAGCGACTTCTCCACAGGCAACACCCCAATTTTTCAAGCCCCAAAGCCCTCCCCCAGCTTGCAAGGGGCCCCACACGAC